GGGGAGAAATAGAGGTGCACTTCCTACTGCACTGTGACAGATACTCTGGGATTAGAGAAACATTCTTCCCCAAATTCAGAAATCTAATCCCAGAGTTCCCACACCTGCCAAAACCACAACAGGTCCCAATCCTACTGGGAGAGGGAGGAGGGAACGCATCTGAACTGGCAGCCCAGTATGTGATCTCCTGTCACAGCCTGAGGAACAGTGAGTCTGTCTCTTAATAATGCTCCATTCGCCTACAGTATATGTCAATATTTTATAATATGTCTTTGTTGTAAATATCTGTAATATGTCTTTAGATTTTATTTTACTTTTATTTTTTGTTGTTTCATCTGAATTTCATTATTTTATTTGCTTTGGCAACACTGATTGTACCCATCGGTCATGCTAATAAAGCACCTTGAATTGAATTGAATCGAGACAGGTTACTACACAGAGAGGTTGAAACAGAGAGAGAGACAGGTTAACATAGAGAGAGGGAGATCAATGCAGAGAGAGAGAGAGAGGTTAACACAGAGAGGTTACAACAGGAAGAGACAGGTTAATACATAGACAAGTTAACAAGTACTGAGAGAGCAGAAACAGGTAACACAGCAAGGCACTGCGAGAGGTTAATACACAGAAAGAGAGGGCTTAAAACAGCTCAACACGGAGAGACAGGTTAACGCGGCTACCACAGGTCCACTCTGGACAGCTAGGTCTGCCCGTGTCCAGTCTGTCCCTGACCATCTGCTCGGTGTTTACAGTCCAGGGCCCTGCCGTGTTTGTTAGCGTATCCCTGCCCTGTTGCGTCACGGACCACAGTCCTCCGTCGCCATCGATACACTAACAAGTGGCCACTTATAAACACAAAATATCGCCTCCTACAGTCTTATATCGCGACTCCATTTTACACGCGATTACCCTCACATTCGTCCCGAGCAGCAGTAAAACTGCTGTAAAACACTGCAGCTGCGGTGCGTGTCCTGTGTTTATGTCTCTGTTCCGCGTCCGGGGAGAAGACGGGTTTAAACCGGCTTCTGGCGGTGCTGTCTGGCGAACAGGCTCCACCAGCTCGGTCCGGTCTAGCCCGGTCTACCGGCCCGGTCGCGGCTAACGTCGTCAGAACCAGCTTCGGTGCGTGGGCAGACACCCAGTACACTACACGGAGTGGCCGGGAAGCGCTCCCGAGTGGGAGTTTGTGTCCGTGAGCCGCTGTGAACACAGCACCCCCCCCGTACCTGAGTTTCCGTGTCCCGACACACAGGCACAGCGAGACGGGGCTGACACACTACATACTGCACACCTGTCCGTACTGCCCTTCACGGTGTCCGCTACAAAGACGGAGGCCCCGACCCTCCGATTCTCCTACCTTCCAGGAGCCGAGAGATGAGGCTGTCCACATTCAGGTCACTCTCCGCCATCTTCCCAGCCGAAAAGCTGTGCCCGCTCACCGCCAGACGGCGCCAAAAACCGCGCTAAAGTAAACGGCGCAGCGCCGCTCCCGCACGAGTGCGCCCCCGTCACCCGTACGGCTCCTACACAGAGTGAGTCGGGGGCGGGGGTGAAACTGGGACTCGCGTCTGGGAGCAGAGTGGACAGGGCACTCCCAGTCTTCAGGCAGGTAGTGTCCAGTGTGCTGAGTGGTTTAGTAATGTGGGCCCAGTGTAGCACATATTCTGTCCAGGATACCCTGATCAGGTGGACAGCCCTGTACTCCAAGAAGGGTGTACTCTCCTGCTTGCTACTCCTGGTTCATGACACATCAAAACTAAAGAGACTCAGTTCCTTCAGCCTGTCAGTGTAGGACAGTCCCTTAATACTTGTATCAGGTCTCCTTTCAGTCTTCTCTGTTCAAGACTGAAGAGACTCAGTTCCTTCAGCCACATAGGTGATGAGCAGCTGTTAGGTTACAATTATATGATATATAATATGCTAACTACATGATATATACAGTAAACTCTCCAATATACTCTGTGATATGTGATTTACTATAAGATATTTTAAACTATATGATAAAATAAAATGGCTGCCTGGAGGAATGTCCAGGTCTGCTGTGGCCTGCTGTGCTGTGAAGGAGCGATTGGTCTCTCCCCCCATTGAACTAACCTGATGGGGGAGTGACACTGGGGAGCTCTCTGCCACACCTGCACACTCATGGGACGGGCCAGGAGAGCACCGGGCCCGTCCGTCTGACCCACAACCCACGGCACCGTCTTCAGCCAGTCCTGCGTGGGCCAGAACCCCGAGCAGATCTCCGAGTCAGCAGCTGGGCCCCTGGGCTGTCAATGTCCGCCCTGCACAGAGAGGGCAGCATCGCACACAAACCAGGACACAGGGAGCTCATTTCTGACTTTATTCATTGCCATCAACCGACACCATCACTACTGAGAACAGTCCTGCAGGCTGGAGAGCAGAGCATGATGGGTGATCACCTGTCAAAACATCGCCTCTCCTGGTGTGTCTCTGTGGGCAGGGCATGCCTGGGCAGGGCAGATAGGGCAGGACAAGGCAGGGCAGGACAGGACAGATAGGAAAGGACAGGGCACAGCAGGGCAGATAGGAAAGGACAGGACAGGGCAGGGCAGGACAGATAGGAAAGGACAGGGCAGGACAGGGCAGGGCAGGACAGGACAGACAGGAGAGGACAGGGCACAGCAGGGCAGATAGGAAAGGACAGGGCAGGGCAGATAGGAAAGGACAGGGCAGGACAGGATAGGGCAGGGCAGGGCAGCGCAGGAGAAGACAGGGCAGGACAGATAGGACAGGGCAAGGCAGGGCAGGGCAGGGCAGATAGGGCAGGGCTTTCAGGGGCATGTAGACCCTGCACTCGCACACCCCCTGCTCCTTGGGGAGGCACTCTTTACGAGCGGGATTGTTGGGGGACAGGAACCCCAGAAGGGAAACACGTGAAGCTCCATTTGGCCCATCCATCCCATTCAGTTGCCCTATAATGATTCCAAGATCTCTTCCAGTCTTCAGCTCAGTGTGCCTTTTATTATTGGGTGGGAGTGACAATAATTTTGGGGGTCTTGTTGGGCAAGACAGGGTGTCAAAAGGAAGTGCCCTTCATCTCCAGTTTCTTCTTCTTCTCCCCCAGTCTCTGCCGCACTCTCCTCGAGAGGAGGAGCCATGTGGCCGCCCAGCCAATCAGCAGCCCCCCCAGAGCCGTCACTATGGGTGCCCACAGAGGCACGGTGCTGACTGGCTGGAGAGGCAGGGTGGGCGGGGTTGAGGTGGCAGGAGGCGTGGTCGGCTGGATGGGGAAGCTGTTGATCCTGGTGAAGAAATAGGGCTGATCCTGAGAGACAGAGGAGAGAGGAAGAGGGTGTCGGGGTGTGAGAGAGGTCGTGGTGAAACTCACTCATTGTGGGGTTCGACAGTGCTGTGTTAGAAAGAGGTAAGAGTGCACAATTACCTCTCTGGTTCTCTGTACAGATCATCTGTGTCTGTATAGCCTTGTGCTCAACAGCCTGAAGACTATGTCCACAAAGTTTGGACACTTATGTCTTCTTAAAGAAGCCTTCAGACCTCATCTCAACCCTCTAATCCCACTCTCTACAGCCTCAATAATCTCAATCTCACTCCCTACAG